CTCTCTCTCTCTCTCTCTCTCTCTCTCTCTCTCTCTCTCTCTCTCTCTCTCTCTCTCTCTCTCTCAAGCAGCCATACTATGGCTCATATCATTGGCTGCCACTCCCACTGCAGTCTGGCTGGTACAACAACGTACTAAAGATAGATACTACGTGTACTAGATGCGAGTGGGCTTTCACCCATTTGTAGTGGGATTACCCTGATGGCTTCGAACAAAATTTGGCAATGGTGGATCAGCCACTGGAATAGGATTTCAGGAGGGACACTCGAGTGGGACAGACTTTGGGTTCTGGTTGGAGGAATTTCCAAAAAAATCAAAATCCAGGAGGGATGGGGATACATTGCTCAGACAGCAAGAGCAATCATTTTTTTGAGTTGTAATTTGGCATGGACCTACTGCTGCCATGCAGTATTCAACACCAAGATTGGACAAACAGGCAGATTCGAGGCGAAATCCTCCGAGGCCTCAGACGGTCTATCCTTTTTTTTTTTTTTGTAATGACTGATTGGAAAAGAAAAGTCTTGAAAGCAGGTAACACAGCTGCAGGCCAAAGATGGGGTTTTTTTTTTTTTTTTTTTTTTTCAAAGATGGTTTCGGAAGACCTGAAGGCTGATGCATTTCTCAATCTTTGGCATATATCAATGAGGAAGGAAAGCTTGTCCTCCACAAGTGTTTTTTCCTAGTTAGCTCATAGTCTGTTAGCTCATTACTATGTTTATTGCAACTTGGTTCCACTTCTTGGTTTGTTTGTTTTTTTTTGTTAAATGCTCTCTTTAGTCCCTCAGCCTGCTGCCCGTTGCTTGGAAATTTTGTCTGGGTTCTATGTTCAGATGCTTCAGTTGCTGTTGGGACGACGCTGGCCGGAGCTGGGGCGAGTCGTGTTGCTCTGTAACCTAGCCGAGTGGGAGTGTGAGGCATGGGAGTGCCCGAGAGGGAATAAGACAGTGTTGGATAGTTTTAGAGAGTTTTATTTGGGAGTCTAGGGGTTCTGAGCATTTGAAAAGAGGTCAGTAGTCATTCATAGTTTTCTAACCTCTTTTTAATTCTCTTGAATTTCTTCAATAGTTCTCAGATTGATTCTCAGCCGAAGGCGGGTAATGGCCCCGGTATCTCAAATGACTTGTGTAACTCTATATGGGACGCTGGGCCCGGTTCCCAGCACGTGATGCTCCCCACGAATAGACTGGAGCATTTGTCCCAAAAAAA